AACAGTTCTTCCTTTAATTCATTTTATGAAACTAGGGAAAAGTTATGGAAGCGACTACGAGTTAGGGGGTATCCATTCAGCTTTCTGCTTCCATTGTTCCGTGAAATACGATACAGTGACGAAAGAAATGGCTTTCCAAGAAACCTAAGAACTATTGTCTTTGAGACTACCTTCAACTGTAGTCACGCACGTATCAAGAGTGTTATTAGCACTATCTTACCAGAATTAGATTGTACTGTATGTTACAAGAAAACTGCGACATNCCGCGACAATGCGTCTAGGAAACAGGCGGTAAATTTCGGCAAGGTGTCAGTGACAGAATTTGTGCGTGATATAATTTTGAGGCGCGCAGTTTTAGCTAAAACTGTGGGCCTCAAAATTATATCACGCACAAAATATGTCACACCTTGCCGAAATTTAGCGCCTGTTTCCTAGACGCATTACCGCAAATTAACGAGCTTTGTTACTTTCGGAATTAGCAGCCATTGGGGTTTTCGGTTTTTAAAGAAGTTTTGAGCGGCTTTCTGGTTTTTAGCAGGCCCGAATGCAAACCTTATGATAAGAATGTGTGTATCTAAGAGAGAGTTATACAGACTCTGGTAACACATCACGACATCCGTCAAATGTGGAAAACTGCTATGATCAGCGCCCTCTAACCCTAAATCCTGTGATACCGACTATAGAGCATCTATTTTAATTCTCTTACGGCCGTTCGCATTAAATTAATAAAACAACAATTTGTTAGAATCACGCCCGACTGAAAATCGTTGGGCGGCACAGATGGCCAATCATAAAATGATTTCCCAACATCGCGTCTCGATCCCCTTTTTTGTAAACTATTTCACGTAACAAAAACTGTTCTAGCAATCCTTTGGAAAGAGCCTGTTTTTTTCTCAAAATGACCAAAATGCTGCATGTCTTACTCAGCATTCGTCACGATATCTGTGAGGATTGCGTGATTTTATAGAAACAAAGATTGCGTGATTTATAGCAGCATCGAGGTTTAGAGTAACGTGATCTGACACAAGTTGCACGGAATGACCTTTCGAACACGTTGGGCAACGCCAGTTGGTTTGTTTCATGTTGGTGTTTCGCTTTAATATTGGTGTTTCGGTTCCTTGTTGAATCGAAAGGCGTTCATGACTAAAGTCATTTCCGTACAGCATGGTGGGTTGACAATTGTGGATATATTACGGACTGGTCATGTCTCTCTTTGGTGAATATCCATGTGCCAATGTTACTCCACCGACTGTTCTGTCTTACACCACGGCCTCCATCTCCATATTTATATCGGCTGTCGCGACTCTCGGGAATTCTCTTGTTCTACTTGCCATCTTCGTGGATCCGAACAAAAATCTTCGTTCTCCATTCAACTACTTCGTGGCCAATTTGGCGCTTGCAGATGTGCTTGTCGGACTCGTGGTAGCTCCGCTGTCGGCGGTGTTTCATGTATCAGAAGGGCTGAAAACCTCTCTTCACCTGCACATCGGAAATTACCTGTATTTCTCATACTTCATCGCATGCACCGCGTCTTTGCTGAGCTTGATTATTTTGGCAGTGGATCNCAATGCGTCTAGGAAACAGGCGGTAAATTTCGGCAAGGTGTCAGTGACAGAATTTGTGCGTGATATAATTTTGAGGCGCGCAGTTTTAGCTAAAACTGTGGGCCTCAAAATTATATCACGCACAAAATATGTCACACCTTGCCGAAATTTAGCGCCTGTTTCCTAGACGCATTACCGCAAATTAACGAGCTTTGTTACTTTCGGAATTAGCAGCCTTTGGGGTTTTCGGTTTTTAAAGAAGTTTTGAGTGGCTTTCTGGTTTTTAGCAGGCCCAAATGCAAACTTCGTGATAAGAATGTGCGTATCTAAGAGAGAGTTATACAGACTCCGGTAAGGCATCATGACATCGGTCAAATGTGGAAAACTACTATGATCAGCACCCTCTAACCCTAAATCTTGTGACACCGACTATAGAGCATCTATTTTAACTCTCTTACGGCCGTTCGTATTAAATTAATAAAACAACAATTTGTGCAACGGCATTTGGTTTGTTTCATGTTGGTGTTTCGGTTCCTTGTTGAATCGAAAGACGTTCACGACCAAAGTCCTTTCCGTGCAACATGGTGAGTTGATAATTGTGGATATATTACGGACTGGTCATGTCTCTCTTTGGTGAATATCCCTGTGCCAATGTTACTCCACCGACTGTTCTGTCTTACACCACGGCGTCCATCTCCATATTTATATCCACTGTCGCGACTCTCGGGAATTCTCTTGTTCTACTTGCCATCTTCGTGGATCCGAACAAAAATCTTCGTTCTCCATTCAACTACTTCGTGGCCAATTTGGCGCTTGCAGATGTGCTTGTCGGACTCGTGGTAGCTCCGCTGTCGGCGGTGTTTCATGTATCAGAAGGGCTGAAAACCTCTCTTCACCTGCACATCGGAAATTACCTGTATTTCTCATACTTCATCGCATGCACCGCGTCTTTGCTGAGCTTGATTATTTTGGCAGTGGATCGTTATGTAGCCATCAAGTTTCCGCTTCTATACGTTACGAGATTGGACGCGGTCAGAGCTGTTATGTTACTGGCTTCTGCGTGGATTATTTCTACTGCTTTATCGCTTATTTACTTCAAGGTTGGGCTTAATATTTACCGTTTCGTCTTCGCCAACACAGCTATCGTGATTACGTTCGTGGTGCTCTTGTTCACCCACGCGAAAATTCTCAGCTCCTTCCGAACTCAAGTTCGCAAATGGGATGACCTTCACGACAGCTCGTCGGAGAACTTTGCCAAAAGACAAGCTTTGCTCTGGGAGAAGAAGATGGCCAAAGCACTGATGATCGTGTTGGGAATATTTCTAGCATGCTTTCTCCCCTCTTGTATTTGTATCTACATCATCAACTTGTGTTCTACGTGCAACTGTGTGTTCATTCACTGGATACGTGACGTCCAGCTTCTTCTTGTGATGGCCAATTCCGGAGTGAACCCTTTTGTATATCCCTGGCGAATGCAACATTTTCGAGAAGCTTTTAAGACAATCCTCTCCTGTGTTAAGTTCAAGGGTGGACTAAGCAGCCTTAGGGAAACTTCAGTGACTCGTGTAACAACATTAACTACAGATGGTTAGATAACAAACACACCAAAGAGACGAAATCGAACGGCGAAACCACGAGACGAGAAAGTGGCGCTTCAAAGTGGCGCCTTTCTGAGCGCCTCTTCACCAGACTCGTTCCCGCCGGATCGCCTTGCTCTTCGTCGCCCACACGCGTGACTCAAAGGTGAGCTTGCTCGCAGGTTATCTTCTTGGCAGCTAGGGATCTGCAAGCAACGGAGTTTATCGGTAGATTTTGTCATATATTTCACGGTTATTCAACCAAAAACTTACATATTCCACACATCAACATTGCCCAAATCCATACGCGATAAAAACGACGGCGAAANGCAACTGTGTGTTCATTCACTGGATACGTGACGTCCAGCTTCTTCTTGTGATGGCCAATTCCGGAGTGAATCCCTTTGTATATCCCTGGCGAATGCAACATTTTCGAGAAGCTTTTAAGACAATCCTCTCCTGTGGTAAGTTCAAGGGTGGACTAAGCAGCCTCAGGGAAACTTCAGTGACTCGTGTAACAACATTAACTACAGATGGTTAGATAACAAACTCACCAAAGAGACGAAATCGAACGGCGAAGCCACGAGACGAGAAAGTGGCGCCTCAAAGTGGCGCCTTTCTGAGCGCCTCTTCACTAGACTCGTTCCCGCCGGATCGCCTTGCTCTTCGTCGCCCGCACGCGTGACTCAAAGGTGAGCTTGCTCGCAGGCTATCTTCTTGGCAGCTAGGGATCTAGAAGTTCTCCTCCCAGGGGTGGTTTACAATTACGTCCATGATTGATCCCTTGGAAATTTTGCATTCTCTCCCTCTCCCCCATTAACAATAAACAAGAGAGCCTTCAGCACACATCTCTGCCTTTGTTGTTGTTGGCGCTGGTGATGTTATTGATAAATATTGACAACTCTTTATTTACCTTGCTGAAAAATTGCGCAACGAACCCTCCTTTCTGTAAATTGCGCGAATAGTTGACGATGCATTGCAAGGCCCCGCCTAGTTGATTGTCGCTCATGGAGAATGAGGGCGAATAGCGCACTAGTTGTTTGAGAGGACACTATAAGGGTAAATGTCAAAAACGATCAATTTCAGTACTTTTCAGACCGTTTATTTTTTCATCTCCTATGGCTGGGGGAGGAATCACCCCTCCCCCTTTCATTCGCTATTTCTAGAATATTTGTAATATTTGAGAAATGATAGTGAAACGGGATCATATATATGGGTTATTGGCCAAGTGTGAGGTCAAGATGGCTGGATATTGGCCAAGTTTGCGAGTTTATGGACCGAGACGGAGTGATCGCTCTGGCCTGGGACAAGCTTAAGACTAGGCGAAAGAAGAAGCGGACAGCCAGATCAAGCCCAACTTACTCTTTGGATGGGTAGGTGGGTTGATAACTGTGATAATAGGTTTTTGGCCTGGGAAAGCACTTCTGTAAAAAACCTGGGGAAACTCTCTTGCTGCAGGGATCAGTACTGGATCTGTTACAGGGAATTATCTTCAGAGACGTCAACAGCACTCAGAACTTAGGTTCAAAGATATCCTTTTAATCCAAGAACACAACCAGAATGCAACCAGAACATAACCGGAATGCAACCAGAAGGTCACCGGAATGTAGCCGGAATGTAACCAAAGAATATTTTACAAGGCACGACTATTTAAGCCGAAAGCACAATTCTAAAGGATTACGTAAAGCTATTAAAAAGTCGTAAGTTAACATTATCTAATATATTTCAGAAAGCTTGATTGGCTATAACGGAATTCAACGCTTACAAGATTAATAACTTTCAAAACAATACAGATAGATAACAGTTTAACAAAAGACTATCGCAGGTAGTAATTACAGTTCAACGCTTATTACAGTTATGATCCTACAACGAACTAGCAGGTGTTTGTTACGGTTAATGAACTGGAACAGTAACCTGTAACTTAGAAATGCAAAACGAGCTAAAACTAATATATCTACGTTGGATTTCTATATTTTCTGACAACGAAAGCGAATATGTAAAACGTACTTAATTATTTAATTTTCTCTCCTCACATAACCTCTTCGCAGTCACGGCCTCAATTACCAATGCAAATTGAGTTTGCATAGGGGTAATAGTCAAAACAGCTCAGCGTTGTGCTAGCTACAACGGTAGTCATTCAATTCCATTGTTTATAAAATAATCGGAAGAATGCAGATTTCCCTTTGGATGTTTCGACTCCATGTATAAAGTAGCTTTTCGTTTTCGTGTCAACTACATGTATTTCTGTTATCACAGACTATAATTTCGTGAAAGCGGAATAATCGCCCTTGTCGAGGTATACGGCTACATAAAGTTTAGCGAAATGACTGACGCACAAGTTTCACGGAAGAGGTCAATGGATTTACACAGAGAATGTTCAAGTTAGTATTGCGCATCGAATTTATTATTTGGCACGACAATTTTATTCACGTGTTATCTACTCGCATCTGATTGGTTTATAAACAATGGAAATGGGTGGGCTAGATGATAACCTGCACATGACCAGTGAAACCATCCCTTTTAAATAGCTCCTTCCACGGTTAAATTTTCTCATTTGCAACACGAAATAATGCAGCGTTTATGTGAGGCAGATTTGCACGTTGTCATCATTTGACTACAACTACCAGAATTCCTTTCGTTTTTACCTTGTTATTTAAATTTCGAATTCTCAGTGGGATTTAAATAACAGTTGCCCTACATAACACAAGAAACAGAAAAAGTGAAGGATTCTGGAAGTTGTAGTCAAATCGTCATGTAAATCGCCTATTAATTTGTAGTTTCTGTTCGAAATTACCTCGCATCCACGTTGGATTACCTTGTATTGCAAATGAGAGAAGCTAACCGTGGTGAAAGCTTTTCATTGGGAAAAGCTTTTCGTTGTCTAGTTATTTAGTAGATGGCACAAGCAGTTTTAAACAGCAACAGATAACAAAGAGGTTTCTAATTCTGTATGCAATAGAAAGTGACAGTGGGGAATGGTTTACGTAAATTCACTGTTAATTAAACCATCAGAAATAGGATTCACAGAACAAAAACGATGCCATTAGGTTTTTTTTTTCGAGGCCCGACTGAATTTTAAGAGTGGCTGGTGGTCAAGACAATTTCCGTTTGCTGAAGAACATTGCTCCATGACAGGAGCTCATGACATGGGCTCCTGTCCACGATAATTGGCTGAGAAGAGACGTTGATTTTGAGTTTGCACTGCAGTGCAAATTAATGCGTGTTCGTAATTTTCTCAGTAATGTTATAAGTGATTGCTGTTACCAAAGCTCGGTTTTGATATAAGCAGCTTTTATTTTAAGCTAATTCCTCTTATAGGTTCGTGTAATTTTGAGGCAATTTTCACATGACAGGTTATACAAGCTGATTATCATGCCCTGCGAACTGAAACATATTGTCAACTCCTACTTGGTAATTTATTAGGACAGATGAAATATTAATATGGCCTTTATGCGATCGGTCGATCATTTTAGGCAACAAGAAACAAATAATCAGACAGCTTTAACGTATTATTTTTAATCATATTGTTGTCGGCTAGAATTAGCTTTTTTTTCGATTGAAATAAATCCTCCTCACTCTGTCAATACTAACACACAAAAACGCTCTTACAGTTTGTATATAACCAACACATAATTATTAAAAACGTACTCCTGAGCAAACTGCTTTATGTTGACTTTTGTTTCATTCCTCGCTAAAAATCTGCTAAGAAAATGCTACGGAATCGAAAAAATTGCAATTTTTTAGAGTAAAGAAAGGTTTTGAATATGTAAAGATTAAATATTCCAAAGTGATTGAAGGTTGTGTGACGCTATTGTTGCCAGCTGGTCATATAAGTTCAGTTCCATGCTGGGCACAGTGCGAATTACAATACAACATCTCCACGCTCGACTTCACGTCCTAATCATTGCGGTAAATTGAGATACAATTTCCTTGGCTGCTCGTCTAATCGACTACTTTTCATCACCGCAGATCTAGAATGTCCTTGCTCGGCAAGTATCCGTGCGATAACATCACAGCTCCAACCTACTTGTCATTCTCTTCGGCTACGTGTACAATATTGTCGTCCCTTGTCGCAAGTGTTGGCAATTTCCTTGTTGTCCTCGCCGTTTTTCTGGACCCCAACAAAGATCTTCACTCTCCGTTTAACTACTTCGTTGCCAACCTTGGATTGGCGGATCTTACTGTAGGGCTTGTCACCTCTCCGCTGGCTGCCATATACCTCATCTCCGAAGGGCTGAAGAATCCAAATCAACAATTCAGAGTGTGGATGCATATGACCTACTTCATTTCCTGTACTGCATCGCTGCTCAGCCTTACTGCCTTAGCGTTAGATCGGTACGTTGCCGTAACATACCCTCTGCTTTATAGATTCAAACTCAGCCCCGTGCGAGCATTCTTAGTTTCACTTCTCGTATGGACTGTGTCGATCTTATTTTCGCTGATCTACTTCGTCGTTGGGTACAACAAATTCAGATTTGTTTTCGCTAACACAGCTGTAGCTGTTACCTTCGCCGTGCTAATTTTCACCAATATGAAAATCTTCAAGCATTTACGACGCCAGGTACATCAGTGGGATACGCTACCAGGCAGTACAAATGAGAGCTTGGCCATGAAGCAAGCGGTGAAGAGAGAAAAGAAGGTCACAAAAACTCTATTGATTGTATTGATATTGTTTCTAGCTTGCTATCTGCCGTCATGTGTTTGCATCTATATCGTTAACTTATGTTCTACTTGTGATTGTGTGTTTATTCACTGGGTCAGAGACATTCAGTTTGTTCTCGTGATGATAAATTCAGGCGTGAATCCATTCGTGTACGCATGGAGACTGCAGAGCTTCAGGAAGGCTTTTAAGAGCATCCTGACATTCCGAGCATGTTTCCAGCGTCTCAGGGTCATTTCAGTCAATCTCTACCAAATGTCAACTTTGAGCGTCAACAATCCTGTTTCATTTGATACTGCCGCCGGGAGATTTAATTCTTCGGCAGAAATCAAGGACTAGCATTGTAAAACTCCAAATGAAGAACCTGGTTTTCCTGAGGAGTTAGACTTGAGCTTTGTTGTAAATAACAGGACGTGGATACTCGGCCGAAATTTCTACACTCATGCTTGTCCAGACATGTCAATTAAAAGAATGCGGTTTAATTCTATTTTTAAAATTTCAGGTAAATATCAAAAAAAGAAAAAAAAGAAAGAAAAGAAAAGAAAAAAATCAAATAAGGTTTTATTGAAACCTTGTGCTTAATTCGTGCCGTCTAAAATAACAGATCAGAGAGTTGAGAACGTAGGCCGTCCGCAACCAGAAAGTGGAGATGCATGGTTCCGAAGCTAAGTTCAAACCGCGAAGGATCGAAAGGGAAGTCAACGAAGATACATAATGCATCTAGTGATAGGACAATAAATAATTGGCCACTCTCCATTGGGGCTTTTCAGGACCAATGTAAACAAACGATGATAAATAAATATTCAAATAAACATAACTAGGTTAACCCTTTGAATATCAATTACGCATATATGCGTAATTAATGGTCGTGCTCGTTGTACCACTTGAGACGTCATCAATTTAAATGTCATCAGATATTCTTGATAAGCATATAGTAGCACTAGGCCTTTCCGCACAATGGTCAGGTTTAGATATCGACGACATTCCGACGTCGCAAATCGAAAAACAACATTATCAGTTTTGGTGCAAATACGGTGGTAAAAGTCCAAATTTTGGCTTATGCGCATGCCCGCAATTGAAATATTGCCCAATTTTGTACCTAATCCTCGAAAAATCTCTGCTTTTAGTAAAGAAAAAAAAAGCTTTCTCAGCGCATTTGAACATTGCATGAAATTTGCGCAATGTAGATTTCATTATTATTCAGTATTATTACGTTAAGCTCAAACTGCCAAGTATTAAAAGAGAAGTCTATGAATATGCATAATGCCCGTGGTGATAAAACAATTCCTTATATGACCGTTGATTGGCTGAGAGCAGGCCAATCTTATCGTTAATTCTTAATTTGCACTACAGCGCAAATTAATCCAGGCCCGTTGAAAAATGTAGTGACATTGAATTGATATCATCGACGCTACTGAGAATTAGAATCTGAAATGAGTCAGGGAGGCGAGAAAAACTTGTTTGTATGATAAAGCTAGATTGAACGAAATTAAAAAAACCAAAACGGGAACACTGAATATCTCGGAACATCCCAGAACATGTCGGAACACTAAAAAAGAAAACAAACAAACAAAAACAAAAACAAAACAAAAGACAAAAACAAAAACAAAAACAGAAAACAAAAATAATAGTAATGATAAAAGAAATGAAATAAAGCTTATGGGTAATTCTTACCCAATGCAAGTGGTTATGTCAGTATTAGGCCTCACTTAACCTTTACATTTGCTTGCAGTTGCTTTGGTTTCATTTCAATTTGCTTGAGGTTAAACTTTCATTTGTTAGAAAGCACTCAACGTTTTTATACCCTAGTTCGTTATACAATGTTTTAATATTAAAGTATTTCAGTGTTTCGGCATGTGTTACCACACCGCTTCGCGGCTCCGATTGTGTGTTTATTCACTGGGAAAGGGGCAGCTCCGTTGTTGTGGTAATGGCCAATTCATGCGTGAATCCATTTTTGTACGCCTGGAGATTAGAAACTTTCGAAAAGCTTTCAAGAGCATTCTGACCTGCCGTGCATCTGACCTGCCGTGCATTCAAGGCCTAGGAGCGGCTGAGGTCCTACAATTATCAACAACTGTAAGTGCTAATGGTCTCTTAAAGCAACTATGAAGAATGATGCAGTCCAGTAGATATATGATATAAAGTAGACAGTCGAATTAAGACAATTAACGTAATAGCGTAACTTCTGCAAGACAATTGATAAAGGGAATCTTGGTAGAACCCGTGACAGCCATAATCCTGTTAGGGTCAATATGGTCCAGTATGAATAAGGGCCTCACAGCTGTCGACAATTATTTTTCATCATGGACAACTAAATGTTAACCCGGCAACTTAAAAACGTAGAGTTGTGAGATGAATTTTCGACAACTTAACTCTACTTTTTTAGTTCTCGGCAACTAAGTAGTTTCCCTTTTCGAGAAGGGACACTTCTTTAGTTTTAATCAACTATTAGCACTACGTCTTGACCGTTCTTCCCGTGTGGGGGAATCATTGGTTTAGTTGTCAACAACTATCAAAACATTACACACATTTGAGCATGCATTGTGTCTTGAGCATGCGTATAGTGAAAGTCATTCCCCAAGCTCTCGCTGGTCTGACTTAGCTATCGACAACTAACTATCGACAGCTAGCACTCCATTGTGTGGAATGCTCGCATCGGACACAATTAGTTGTCGATAACAAATAGTTGTCGACAACCAAGTATCTAGTCTGTGAAGACCCTAAAACACGAGACAGTTGTTTTCGTGAAGGCTCCTGCGCGTGACTGATTCGTGATGTTTGCGTAGCGATCAACAACGCATGATTTTATTTAGCATCTGTTTCAGAGAGAGGTTCGTATTTCTTTGCAAAACGTTATATTTGGTTTAATATCTTAGCAATGCCCTTCAATTAATTTAATAAATTACTTTATTATTGTTGGAAAGCTGTTTTTGTGAAACTGCAGAAGGCCAAGTACGCCTTAAAGGAAATGCTATCAGAACAAAATAGCGATTTTAATACTTGAGTATAAAATCGAAAGTCAAATAGATAAGGATTATTTTGAAAAAAACTGGATATTTAGACCGATCCAGTAATTAAGTAAATCCGGAGTAAATACGAAAATATGTAAAAAATAATTTAGTTCGATTCGCTTTTTCGTAATCAATTACAAATAAATAAATTAATTAATTAATCTATTTGTTAACTCACTGTGTCTTTTGTTCTTGTTGCCTTTTTCTTTCGCTTTTTTCTTCGCTTGTTATGTAACGTAGTCTACTGATATAAACTTGAAAGCTAAATATTATTTTTTTTTCAGCCTATTTTTACAATGTAATGTAACATGTTGAACTGAAAATAAAATTGTAATAGTAAAAAAAAAAAAGAAAAAAAAAAACCGTGGTATTTAGGTCCCCTTAAAAATACCCCATGTCTTCTCAAGCCTAGTGTTCGTGCTTTTGATCACATTTCACGTGCATGATCTTTCACCTATACTCTCGTATTGAAATGGTCCAGCCTCGCTCCCAGGGCTGTTCCCTGCAAAAGCCCTTGGAACGAGGTTGAAAATGGTCGGCAAAGTGGAGAAATGACTGAGATGAATAAATATGCGGGTAAAAATTTAAATATTTGTGCTTTATCTTTTTCTCATGCTGCTATGTACAGGTCCCTCATGTTGTGTGGAATATGTCAGCTTGCTTACCGTGGCGTACCTTGGGTCTTTTGGTTTCGTTCCTCAGCCGCCGGCCACCTATATACGTATCATTCGGCAGGTTGTAGCTATGGTTACACAAATTCGACGAATTCCCTTTGACTCGAAACAGAAAGTTTCTGAAAGGCATTTTACTTAATTGAGCTGAAACTGAGTGAGTTACTGCTTCTAAATACTAAACTATATTACAGGTTAACGGTCCACTTGCTGTCTTCAGATAGACAAGAGCAAAAAATGTCTCTACTTGGAAAATATCCGTGCGACAACATTACTGCCCCAACTTATTTGTCCTTCTCCACGGCCTCATCTTCAATATTGATCACCATCGTTGCATCTGTTGGAAACTCTCTGGTGGTTCTTGCTGTGTTTCTGAATCCAAACAAGGACTTGAGGACGCCGTTTCACTACTTTGTGGCCAATCTTAGCATTGCGGATCTCATCGTTGGACTTATTACGAGTCCAATGTCTACGGTATATCACATCTTTGAAGGAGTTGGCATGCTGAAACAGCGATTTAAAGACGTAGTTCATATAACATTCTTCATTTCTTGGACTGCATCCCTGCTTAGTCTAACAGCCCTGGCGCTCGATCGCTATCTCGCCATCGCATACCCTCTGATGTACCGAGCCAAGCTTAACCCTGTCAGGGCGTTGTTGGTCTCGCTCATGGTGTGGATTGTGTCGATTCTCCTTTCAATGATCTACTTCATTGTGGGGTTCAACATTTTTCGCTTTGTCTTTGCAAACACTGCTGTTGCTGTTACTTTGGCAGTACTGCTCTTTACGACCGCAAAAATTTTCAAGTATCTGCGATTCCAAGTACAGCAATGGGACGACTTGCACGACAGTACAGAAGAGAACTTAGTCAAGAAACAAGCGATGAAATGGGAGAAGAAAATAACAAAAACCCTGGTCATTGTACTGGTGTTATTTCTAGCGTTTTATCTGCCTGCATGTATTTGCATATACATCATAAACTTCTGCACAGATTGCGGTTGCGTGTTTATTCACTGGGTAAGAGACATTCAGACTGTTCTAGTAATGGCCAATTCAGGCGTCAATCCCTTTGTGTACGGCTGGAGATTGGAAAATTTTCGAAAGGCTTTTAAGAGCATTCTGACTTGTCGCGCGTGCATGGAGCGACTGAGGTCCTTTTCAGTTTTAAATTTAACGCATTTAAATGTATCGGCGACAGTAAGTACTGATGCGCCCTCAAACAGCCCGGAAGGGCTATGCAATCCGGTAGATATCGAGGACAAAAAGTAGACAGATTTAAACTATAGGAAAGAAGTTATTGCTAAATAGATCACAGATGAGGAAGTGAAAAACGTAAACACGGATTTATTTAGAGTTTGTGTTCAGAGAATCATACCGGAAGACACAGCTACAGGACTGATGGTTTACTTTTGATATGTTTAAACAATGGTTAAGTTAATTTGTCATCTCATTTTCATGCAGAGGTAACAGCCTCATTCCGCCATTCAAACCAAACCTAGGACATATAGAACTGGTCTAGATAGCAGCAGACATGTAAAGATTTTAAGGAAAACGACCAATTCTTTAAGTTTAAAAGACATGTTTCGACAGAACTTCTGTCATCTTCAGTTGAATGAATGATTACAAAG